CCTTTTGTATCTATGCTTCTTTTTCTATGTCTGATGGTCTAAACCCTGATGGTTTAGAACCTTTTAGCACTGCTGCTGGTTTTAACCAACCTGCTTAGTTTATCCTCATGCTTTTATTTTGAAAGTGGACTGACAGGAAGTGGGCTAGAGATCTCCAGAACTCAAACTGGGAGGTAAAAACCGTAGAGCCCAGACCAGAACCTGAGGTCCCATTCAGAAGTGCAGGTTTCTCACCTGATTGGCCAAACCGTCTCCCTCCTCCTCCTCCTTCTTTTCGGTCTCCTTCCTCTTCTGACCTCCAGTCCTCATATGGAACCAGAATTCCTGAAACAAAAACCAGAGACGTTCCCCTCAGAACCGGATCCGGTTGGACCGAACCAACATCTGACTTCAAAGAAAACCTTAGAGATGGAGCTGGAGGTTCTGGTTCACCTTGTCTGCCGGGTCGGGGAGCCAGCCCTCCCGGATGTGGACCCCCATGTGCTCCCGCAGCAGGCAGGGCTTCAGGAAGCTCCTGGAGCAGATGATGCAGCAGTGCTTCCTCTTCCTCTGGGTGCCGGAGGTCAGCGAGCGCGGTGAACCGGGTCTGCCCTCCGCCACCTCCTGGACCTTCGGGCGATCCTCTGATGCGGACGGGTCCGGGACGCCCTCGGTTCTGGTGGGGCTCTGGTCTGCAGAGCAAAGAACACAGTGAGGAGGAGGAGGATGAGAAGTTTTAGGCTGAATTCAAATCCAGCGGCTGCGTCCTCTGAAGGCCGGATTCGAGGGTCGATTACATCATAGCGCGGCACAGAGGCCTGATCGGATTCTAAGACTCCTGGTTACGCAGCCGACAAACGCGTCCTCCTTTTAACGGACGGGTCCGCTGTGTCCTCTATAGCCTCAGATATCCCAGGATTCATTGCGAGTCCAATCAACCCGGCTGCTCCGTGCTCCGAGGAAAAAGGGAAATGGCGCCGAACAGTGGTGAAAATTGGAAGTGCAGTTTAGTATAATCCAGTC